ATGCTGCGGGTTGTATTTTTCTTATTTATCTGAGGTAGTTTACTATACAATCTGCATACTAACAGTTTGTCATCCATGAGTTCTAAATATTTTCTCCCAATTAGTGATTTTAAAAAACTCTTTTAGGTATTTTTAGATGAATAGAAGTTTTAAATCTTATTGTAGCCAAATTTATCCCAGTATGAGCTAGAGGTCAAATTTCATCTTCCCAGACAGATACCAACTGTGTAAGTATGAAAATGCCCTATTTTTCCAAACTCCTATGAAACATAAATGTAGCCAGGCACCAAATACCCATACACTTGTAAGTCTGCTTCTGCACCAGTGTTCTATCTATATCTGTTATCAAAATAAAAACTTTTAACTCTCCATCTTTGTTTTTAGTACATTGCTTGTAACAAATACATTACTGGCCTCCTGATGCTTTCCACAGGCTGTGTTCTTACACTGACTGTATAGAAAGAGGAGACAAAGTAAACCTACCCATATACACATCAGCCCTGGCTCTGTTCTTAGTCTGTATTATGAATGAGGGAGACAAGGAGTGGGGAGGAAAAAAAAAAAAGGAATGCAGTTGTGTGAGCATTTTAACTACTCTGTTGATGCCTCCTTTTACCTGGAGTGATTAAGCATTTCCATATACTATAGTTAAGGTGTATTTGAATTTCTATCTACTACATTATTTTCAGCTTTTTAATTGATCCAAGTTTCTATGCTTTCTTTCCCTTTTCTTTTCTTGCTTACTTTTCCATTAGCTAAATGTTCAGCTCCCTTCTCCCCCAGTAACAGTTTGAATTTTGTACTTTGAATATGTTTTTTCAGTGGTTTCTCTGAAATATCTATCACGTAGTTCAGACTTCCAAAGTATTTTCAGTGACTACTCAATATTAATTTTGGAAAAGCATGATGCTCATATCTACTGTATTAGTAACAGCTGAATAAATGCATTTAATATAAATATTAAATATCTTGTGAAGCTCATTTTTTAAAAGATCTGACTAGAGGATTACTTAGCCTAGAAGGCAAGATAGACACACAAAGGAAGAAGATTTACTAGGTGTTTCTAAGTTATTTTTATATTAGAATATTCTTAAAAGTAGGTTTTATGACAAAGTAACAAAATATTGTTTCTTGAATCATGGCTTTATATTTGCCTCTTCTATTTGAATTCACTCAAATTACTTAGAAACTTGAAAATGCAATGTCTTTGATATTCATTTTTTCCTATTATCTATGTAATATAGATAATTTAAATTCATGTACTATATTCATGAATGCTATGACATTAATCAAAAATTTATTAAGGAAATATTCAGATATTTTATTTATTTAAAGGGCAAAAAAAGATACCATCTCAACTAGCAAATGCTATATAAAATAAGACAAGACAGATTTATGATTTTAACAAATGTAAAATACTATCCATTATTTCAAGAAGCTAAGAAAATATAATAAAAGACCCCCAAATTTTTATATATTTAATGTTTCTCCATGGTAACTCCATAAAAGGAATTCAATTAGATTTCACAGCACTTTAAAGGTAGGTTCTTAAGTAGAAAGAAATTAATTATTCCTTAGTAATTGATTTGAAGGGGAAAAGAGTAGATGTAGTCCATAAATTGACTTCAGAGATCCATAGATATTTTTAATTTGCATGCATCTTACATAACTACATTCATCTTTTAGAATCCACATTAACTTAAAAAAGAAAAAAATATTGTTCTAAATAAAGAAAAACACTTATTAGTCTCCTCCTAAAGAAATGTGATCAATCAACCAGACTATCTGTCTATGTACCCATCAATCCATTAATGAAGGAAAGATACCTATGAAACTATTAACAGTAGTATCACTGGGGAGGTAGTTTAATCTAGCTAGTTAGGGGTACTTGAGCTTTGTTTGTAATATATAAAAGTTTAAAATGAAGGTATAATTTTGCTCTGAATATAAACAATTTTAAATGGTTCCACAGATTTTAAAAATGAAAAAAAAATAATATAGATCCAAATAGCTTTACTGAGAATCTATAATTGTTTTTATGGAAACAATTTATGGAAAAAGAAGCTTTACCAAAATTCTCTTGACTAACATTTTCAGAGTAAACAACATGACTAAAGTGTAAGGAATACTGGAGGAGATTATGGAGAACCTAGAATGGGAAGCAAAAGAATCTAAAAATTTTTTTTCCTTTTGGTACTACTGAAGTTTGAATTCAGGACCTCGAGCATGCTAGGCAGGTAGGTAATACTTGAGCCACTCATTTCAGCTTTTAGTTTTTTTTCAGATAGGGTCTCTTGTTTTTACCTGGGCTGGCATGGAACCTGATCCTCCTGTTTCGCCTCCTACATACCTTGGGATAACAGGTGACCATCACCACACCTGGCTTGTTAGATAGGATGGGTTCTTGTTTGCTTTTGGCCTGGGCTGGCTTAAAACCACAATCCTCCTAGGTAACTAGGATTATAGAAATAAGTCACAGCCCTGGGCAAAAATCTATAATTTTTAAGAAATGAGTGGCCACTTTAAAGTTTTAGAGTAAGGGAAGTAATACTGACATTTAACATAAAATAATGAAAAAGGTTATTTTTCCCCCATTTGAAGATTAAGAATTATCAATTTCCAAGTGTCAAAAAGTAGAAAATACTGAAATTGGGAAAATAAAAGATGTTTAAGTGTGTGGAGTGTTTTAGTTTGCTAAAAGTACCAGCAAGTTTATAGTAACTAAAACAAAATGTTTACTGACAGAATAGATGAACAGAACATTCCAAAATTATCTTTTTTTGTTCTAAAACAGAATTCCTTCCCAGTGAATATGTTATTAGCATAAATGTCACTAATGAATTAGAATAATACAAGTTTTACATTTTATTTGTGTAATAATTTCTGGGGGTGCATCCATTATTACTTTCAAGAGAACACCTTAAGAATACCTCTATTTCCTACTTATTATATTAATTAGTTTATAAAATTATGTTTCAAATTAGTCTGCAAGCAAATCTCACATCTTTCAAAAACCACAGGCTGCTAAGAGTTCTCTTTACTTTAATCTTACAATGCTCTCATAAACTGATAAAGTTTGTTCTACCTTTTTCTCCTCAGTAAGATAAATTCAAGTAATAAATAAAAGAAATTAATAAATATTTTATCTTAATATTCAAAATATTCAGATAATCTCATGACAAAGGACCAGATTTTAGGCAGTTTAAAAACCTTTTTCAATATTAACCACAAAAATGGTAGCTGAAAAATTCTAGTCCCATAGTTTCAAGGGAATCATGACTTAGGATTTGATATTTTCAAAGAAATGTTCACGAATTTTTAGTCTACCTCAAGAAAATTTTCATGTTATAAGCTCTATAAACAGAATAAAACAAAACTAGGTATCTTTTGTATAGGTGGTAAAAGGTGAAAGAGAAAAATAATGAAATAAAAGTACAGAGAAAAACAAGTTAATTGAGATAGACACAAATATCTGATCTAAGTGAAAGTCAGCAAGGAAGTTTACAATTAACATATTCATCACTTTCCAAGAAGGATCTAGACAATGCCCATGCAACAGAATCAAACTTTAATTGGAAGGTAGCTCACATACTAATGCTTTTTCATAACTGCAAAAACAATGTTTATGAAGACAACCCATTCCTATTACCAATTCATCATCACAAATGATGACATTGTAATAAATGTTTCAATTTTAAGTGATATAACCCAACATTAGTCATTGTTTCCCAAAAGTAAGGCCTTTCTCTGATAAATTCTATCAAATACTTAATACTAATTATTCAAAACCTCATTCAGAAGGCAAGGAATACTTCCCAACTGATTCTATAGTTCCCAACTCATTCTATAGTTTCAACAAGTAAGTAGGTTTGCTTACTTTGCTATCAAAGCCAGAAAACAGCATCACAAAAAAACTTCATACTCAAAATATTTGCAAACTGAACTCAGTAAAATACAAAACATCTTATACCACTGTCAAAATGGATTTTCCCCATGAATGGAAAGCTAGTTTAACAAAAATCAACTAATATGGGGAGGGAGGATAAAGGAGAATGATGGAGGAAGTCAACTTAACTATGATATATAATTATTTTAAGCATGTTTGTAAATGTCACAATGAACCCCTGCATAACAGTAATATGGTATAAGATTTTTGAAAAAATCAACTAATATTCTATGCCACATTATTATAATAAAGTTACAAGATCATTTCAAAAGAGACCAGAAAAGAATATTTGACAAAAATCCAATAATTATTCACAAAGCAAACCAGGTATAGATGAAAACTTACTCAACCTAGTAAAGAGCAACTCTCAAAAAACAAAAAAACCACATACTCATAACTAACATCAAATCAAGTTGTAAAGACCTCTTTTGCTCTTTCTATTCAACATTGTACATGATATTCTACCTAATAGAATAAGACAAAAAAAGATACTAACAAATTATTTTCATTTGCAGGTGATACACACAGAAAAATCCCAAGAAATCTACTTTTGTAGTCTCAAATTTTATTTTCATTGTTAGTGAGTACATATAGTCCATTTTTTTCAACACTTACTGTGTTAGCATGCACTCCACAACAAAAGATTGGCTTATTCACTGCCTCTAAATGAGTGTTCTGTGCATAGTAAGCATTCAGTAAGTAAGTGCTGAAGGCATTAATAGGCTTCTTTAAAAAGAAAAAAATCCTGTCCCTAATACAATATAGTTTATTTAAACATAATTATGAGTTAAATTTGTGGAAAAGTAAAAAGTATTAATTCAAGCATACAAACACTTAGAAGAAAAACAATAAGCCCATCACTGTGTCTGAAAGATAGGTAACAGAATAGTATAATTAAAGTAAAAAATAAAATGAATTATGAGGGTATATTTTTAATTCAAAGACTAAGAGTTAAAATAAAATTTAAGATTACAAAGGTAGCTATTAATTTTAAAATGCTCTCTAGGCATGATGATCAAAATCAAAAGATGATAAATCTGCTTTCTTTTCTTACCTGCACAGCCAAAAGCCAAATGGTATCTGGAAGAAGGGCTAAATTTCACACAGCACACATTAGCCTTTGCCTCAATACTTGCCACTGAATTGTCTAGGTTGGTAGACCACAGTTTCACTAAAGGAAAGACAACAAAAATAAAAAGAAGTTAATTTGTAAAGTTTGTTACCACAGATGTATTTTTGTGTCACTATAAAACATTTTTGTTTACTAGGACCAAAATATGTTTAAGATGAATGCTTGAATAATAGACTAGAAAACAATTTCAAAATAAGAGAGCTTAGTTTCAATGTCAAAACTCGACATACATAATAAGCATTGCTTTTATTCTGAGAGGTAACATGGACCCACAAGGAAACATAAAGACAGGTACAAAACTAGCAACCTAGACCTAGGTGGTATATTCAATGTATACATATTCATTACAGTATTCCTTCATTATATATTTTTATTTGTATGATACATGTAAAAATAAAACCATCTCTTAAAGCACTTACAAGGTGTTAAAACATCTCTTAAATCACTGATATCATATTCTTATCTTCCAATGATTTAAAAAATTTTATGCAGAATATTAGCTATATACTTTAAGTGTGTCTAAAAATAATAGATTTTATATTTAATCTCTAGTCTATTTCAGGGGAATATACTACCATTTATAATGATTAATGTGAGTAAATCTAATTAGAACAAATCTGATCTGAAAGAAGAGTAGAAGGATGAGCTGCTGTTTTACTAAGTCACCAAAATACATCATCTTAAGACAACAAAGATATAGTAGAATAAGCATTATAAAACAGAATGTGAGGATACAAGTTGCCATCCTGGTAACACATTAGAATAAATGACGAACAGTAAAAAGCGGTAACATCAACATCTTCTGAGCCATCTTCCCATCTATCCCAATATTTGATCCAGAAACAATTCTCATATGATGCCCAGATAAAGGTGTCTTAAAAAAAAACTCTCCCAGTGATTCTTACATGTATTAGGAGTTGAAAACCAACAGTGGGGATAGAAGCCTAGTAAAATCTTAGAATCTTTTCAGGAATACTAATACAGTAACTTCAAAATAGGAATTTAAAACAACTAAAAGCGTCCTAACAAATGTGACTTCCATGAAAACAGATTTCATAATTTACTTCAAGTTGTGAAATCTCTGAGTATAAACTACAGAAAAATAAATAAGCTTCATAAAAGATACTCAGAAGAAAGGAATTTTAAATAGTAATATTGAATTTGTTTCATGTTATTTTCTAGTAAGAAGGTGCTATTTCAGACAGTATGCAGTCGACCAAGATACATAATTTTAATTTTTTGTACCTATTAAATATTGGATTGCTTACTTTCTATTTCAGATAATTCACTATTGCAGTATGGCATCCTACTGACTTATGCAATTTGAATTTGTATCCTGAAACTTAGCTAAATTCATTTATTAGTTCTGACAGTATTTTGGTTGAATCATTTGGGGTTTTCTATATGTCTATATGATTGTGTCATCTGCAAATAGACAATCTGACTTCCTTTCCTCCAGTTTGGAATTTCTTTTTCTTGCCTGGTTGCCATGGCTAGGATTTCCAGTACTATGTTAAATAAAAGTGGTGCAAGTATGTATCCTTGTCCTACTCCAGATCATAGAGACTGTTTCAACTTTTCCTGACTCAGTACAGTATTACCTAATGGCTTATTATGATCTATGGCCTTCTATTATGTTGAGGTATAATCCTTCTATGACTAATTTGTTCAGCATTTTTAGCATGATAGGATTTCGAGTATTATCAAATGCAATTTCTACATTGATAGGGATGACCATGTGGTTTTTGTCTTTCATTCTGTTGACATATCATCTTCATTGATTTGCATATGTTGAACTACCCTTGGATCCCTAAGATGAACCTCACTGATCATGATTTAATGTGGTACTGCATTCCGCTTGCTAGCAGTTTTGCATCTATGTTCATAAAGGACATTAACCTACAGTTTGTTATGATCTTATCTGGTTTTTGTATAAAGGTAATACTGGTTTCATGGAATGAATTTGGGAGAATTCCTTCCTCTTCAGTTTGAAAACAAAAAAACAAGAAACTTAACCAAAGAGGTAAATGATCTCATAAATGAAAATCATAGAACACTGATGAAATAAACTGAAGAGAACAGGGAAAAAGAAAAAAGCATCTTGTGTTCATGGTCTGAAAGAATCAATATTGTTAAAATGCCTGCACTACCTACATAGTCAATGCAGTCCCCATCAAGAGACCAATGACATTCTTTACAGAACTAGAAAAGGCAATCCTAATATTTGTACAGAATCTCAAAGGCTTGAATAGCTAAAGCAATGTTGGGCAAAATGAACAAAGCAGGAGACATTGTACTACCCAATTATACAATATACTGCAAAGCTATAGTAATCATAACAGTACTGGTATAAAAATAGCACAAAGACTAATAGAAGAAAATAGAGAGACTGAAAGTAAACCTACACATACACAGTCAAATGAGTTTCAAAAAGTGCTAAGAACAAAAGAAACCCTTACCAATACATGGCTCTGAGAAAATTAGGTATGAACATGCAAAGAATGGGACTAGACTCCATGTATCACCAGTTACAAAAATAAACTCAAAATGGATAAGAGACTAGAATAAGATCTGAAACAAGGAAACTATTTAAAAAAAACAGGAGAAACACTTCAGGATATTGCAATGTGCAAGGATTTTGGGGACAACATCACAAAGGACAGGAAACAAAAGCAAAAGTTAAATGAGATTACATTAAACAAAAGCTTCTCTACAAGGGAGCAAACAACCACCAGAGTGAAGAAACAATCCACAAAATGGGAGTAAAATCATACATGTGTCAAGGGGTTAATATCAGAATACATAACAAATTCAATTCAATAGCAAAAACCCAATTAAAAAATGGGCAGTAGACCTAAATAGATATTTTCAAAAGACATACAAATGAGCAACAGGTATATGAAAAACAGCTCAAAATCACTAATCACCAAGGAAATACCAATCAAAAGCAAATAAGTTATCACCTCACTCTATCAAAAAGACAAAAGATAACAAGTACTGGCAAGAATGTGGACAAAAGGGAACCTTCGCACACTGTTGGTGGTAATGTATAGCTATTATGGAAAACACTATGAGGTTGTGCCTCAAAAAAATTAAAAACTAAAACTAGCATGTGATCCAGTAATTTTGCTACCCAAAGGAATGAAGTCATTTGTTGAAAAGACATCTGCATTCCCATATTTACTGCAACACTATTTATAGTAGCTAAGAAGTGGAAACAATCTAAATGTCTGCCAACTGATAATGTATAAAGAAAATGTAGTACATATATACAGTGGAACAGTATCCAGCCTTAAAAACCTATGAAATCTTGTCATTTCTGTCAACAACAAAATCTAAATATCATATCCTAAGATCTTAGTTAAAGCAGATTTTAAAGTACTATTGTTAACTGTGGTCCATAGGGAAAAAATAAACTCACTTTAAATGAATGGACAGACAAAAGTACTCAGAAGAGATGTAGGAATTATTAAAAACAAAAATCTAAGAAAAATTATAGCAAAATGGAGGTACACATACAAGAGTCAGTGAATAACAAGATACAATAACAGAAATTACCCAATCTGAAGAGAAAAAAAATATTGTTAAGAAAGCTATCATTTAAGACCTGAAAACAAAGTGGAAAGGTGAAACAATATAATTAGAATTCCAGAACAGAGGAGAAAAGGACTACTGGCTTGATGAATACCTGACAGAGTAATTTTCTGAAGAAATAGTGACCAGCATAAAGAAAATCACATACTGATAAAAGGGACAATTCATCAACATGTGACAACCCTTACTATGTTATTTTCCCTAACAATAGATTTCAAACTGAACGGCGGAAACACTCAAATAGATAACTAAACAAAGAAATAAATTAGACTTCAATATTATTGTCCCATAATCAATAAAACCAAACAATCAACAGGACATGGAAAATCAGCAAAATACTACCAATAAGTGTGATATAATTTATACTTAGAGAACACTCTTAACACTAAGCTTGGATTCTTCTCAGTGCATTTGGAATATTTACTGAGGTAGTTCACATTTTAACCACAAAACAAACCATAGCAACTTTGAAATAATTAATCATACTAAGTGTTTCTCTAACTATATTAAGTTCTAAATCAGTAACAGAAGAATTCTGAAATTTTCAAATAAAGTCTGAAAATTAAAAAGAAATAAATAATAGCTAAGTAAGACAAACAAGGAAACCATAAAATTTTAAATTGAAAGGAAAACCATGAACACAAATATACATATAAATTTATGGGTTCAGCTAAAGGAGTGCTTAAAAGGAAATGCATAAAGAAAATATTTAGATGAGAAAAGATCTCACATCAGCGACATAAGCTTCAACTTAAAAAAACTTTTTCACAAAAAGGTTGGGCATGATGGCTCATGGCTGTAATTCCACCTACTCGGAAGGTGGTACACAGAAGATAATGGTTCAAGGTGAGCTTGTGCAAAAATTAGCAAAACCCGTACCTCAATCAATAAGCCAGATGTGGTAGCACTCGCTGGGATCCCAGCTATGCTGAGGCTGGTCCTGGACAAAAACGTGAGACTGTATTTGAAAAATGACTAAAAAAGCAAAGAAAAGGCTGGGGACATTACTCAAGTGGTAAAGCACCTACCCAGCAAGCACAAAGCCCTGGTCTAACATTAACACTGCCAAAAAAAATACAAAGAAGAAAAAATCAGTTGGGGCATGGTTCAAGAGGCAGAGCACCTGCCTAACATGCACAAGGCTCAGGGTTCCATCTTAAGAGGGAGAGAGAGAAGAAGGGAGGGAGGGAGGAAGGGACAGAGGGAAGGAGGGAAGGGGGAGAGAGAGAGAGAGGGAATGAATATGAATGAGAATTAAATCTAGAATAATAAGGAAATATTAGCAAACAAAAACTGATGAAGTATTAATGACTTCTCTACTAAAACCTAATAAAGTGCTATATGCAAATAGAAAAAGAATTATATAGAATTTTAATTTGACCCCGTCAAAACAATCTTATAAATAAAAGAAAAAAGATGAAGGACTTGCATTTCTTGATTATAAAATAGCACTATACTAATAAACAGCAAGATACTACTTTGTATTTATTAGGATCTTTATTATGTATGTGTATGTAGATATACACATCTATCTATCTATCTATCTATCTATCTATCTATCTATCTATCTTTCAAAACAAATGGGAGGGAGGGAGGGACTGCTGACAAAGATGGGGAGAAAAAAAGCCACTTAAGCACTGTAGGCACCACTGGTAGGAATGCAAAATGGAACAGATAGAATGGAAAACATAAGTGTTTCACCAAAAAATAACCATAGAAGTACAATATGATACAACAATTTCATTTGAGTATATAACGAAAAGAACAGAAAGCAAAGACCTATTTGTATTCGTATACCCATGTAAATAGCAGCATTATTCAATAGTCAAAATACATAAAATTTTTATGTGTAAAAAGGGCAAAGGAAAAGGAATAATATGATATAAAATAAAGTTTCCAGTGACAGAGTTATCCTTGTCTATCTAACCATTAGTCTGGATGAAGGGCAAAGAAACTGAGGCTACTAACTGTAAGGTAAAAGAAATCTGTTGACAGGGCTTTATAAACCTAATGGTGAGAAGAACCATATCAGAACAGGGTAACAGGAAAGAATAAATAATAAAGAGGGATAAAAGAAAAACAGAAAAGAAAGGTAAATTATGGTTAAAGAGAGATATGAGATTTTTATCTTGCAATTTTACAAACTTTATTATACTAGAGATTTAATGTAATTAGAACAGAGAAATTTGAACTATTTCAGGAGAAAAAAAGTCCACTTGATAATATAAATAAAGGGTCTGCTTATAAGATGGCAGCAATTCTAAATTTCACCAGGTGGCTGGCACAAATCCAGCAAGTATTAAAATGAATATGCAATATATTCATTTTTCTTTTACTCAGAATGAGAAATTATTTCTGGCCTTAAGATTACATTTGGAATAATTAATCAGTAATCACAAAGGACTGCTATAAATTTCAATAAAATGTTTTTATTTCTACCAATAAAAGAAATTATGGAGAGAAGGAAGGGTTGAGGAAGATATAGAAATACCTTTTGCATCATCAGAACCTGAAGCCAAAAGTTTAGGATCCATCAAATTAAAGTCAACACTCCAACACCTCTTCTCATGCTCCTGGATGAAAAAGAAAGACAAAGTACACTCAGAAAGAACACAGATCTTCAATTCAGTAAAGAAAAAAAAAAAGAGCTACTTGAGCTATGGGGCGGGCCCTACGGAAACAAATGAAAAGGAAACCAAGATACTGACATAAAGCAATTACAAACTGCTTTACATTTACTAAAATTATTGCTTTTGAAAATTTATGTGATACATTCTCAAAACACAAAATTCTAAAGAAATCCTTTAGAAAAGCATTTATTACACAGGTATAAAACACTCTGAAGCACAGGAAACTCTTTAAATTGTTAAGTAAAAATGCAATTCTTACAACATATAACCAAGATCTTTATTTACCTGATAGACTTTTGACCTCTGACCTGTGAATCCATCCCAAAGGATAACAGTGCCTTCATAATCACTGCTAGCTAAGAGGTTCTTATGGTAACTACTCCAACTGATACAGCTGAAAGAAAGAAACAGTTAAAACTTACTTACCAATAAATAAAAATGGAAAACAAAGAATCTTTTTCCAAAGGGGAAAGAGATTTGCAACTTACAGAAAGGAATAATTTTGTTAATACTGATGGATCTTTTAAAATTCAAAAGAAGGGCTAGTGGAGTGGCTCAAGTGGTAAGAGCACCTGCCTAACAAGCCTGAGGGCCTGAGTTCAAACCTCAGTGTCACTAAAAAAGAAAAAAATAATAAAATAGCCTAACAGAAAAATTATTGAGAACTATCGATATCTTTAAAACATGTAACCATATAAAGCTTTGCTCACAATAAGATAGAAGCAAACTAAAACTACAAATTTCCTGCACAATAAATCTGCATAAAAGCTTCTCATCACACAGTACTGACTGGGGTGTAAGACCCTTTATATGTATATATGTGTATGTGTATATATATGTATGTATGTGTATATATATAAGTATATGTGTGTATACATATTCACCAATTTGATAGTATGTTTCAAAATTGCATACTACATGTCTGTTTCACGAGCACTGCCACTTCTATATAGAGATATAATCATACAGGCAAGCAACCTATGTACAAGGAACATCATTGTAGCAATGTTGATGATAAAAGATTGAAAAAAAATACATTCAGTAAGAAGCTGGCTTAAAGTGGTTACTTTCCTATTGTGGAATACTATGAAGCAATTTAACACAGTAAGCCAGCAGCAGTATCTCTTCAAAGTATATTAGAGAGAAAAAACCAAGATTCAGTACAAAGTGCAGAATACTTTGTCATTTATATATTCATATATTGATTACCAACATGCAAAGAATTATTTCTGTGGAAATATCCTCCCAAAACCCCACAGACTGCCTTAGGAAGAATATTTAAGAAATTTATCCAAGGACAACAAATGGGTACAGCAGTGGTGGGAGAAAAAAGCTTTTTAGTGAATGGTCTAATTTTTTTTTAACTTTATACGTTAATGAACTAATCGTCTAAAAACAGCTAAATAAATATATGAAAATGGTCCAGGGTCTTTGTCATTTAAGATTGACCCTACCTACCTTCCCCCTCTATCAAGTACTGGGTATATGGACCTCCTTCCCTTTTCCCTGAAAAACATTTGCTCAAGATGTAAATGTAAGTATTTTTATTTTGCTGCTTTTTAAAACACCAATCAGAACAGAATCCTAAGGAATATACATTTTTCCACATTTTAAATTAGCATATTAGTTGTACACTGAGAGGAGTGTCATTGTGCTATTTCCACACATGCTTTTAAAATACTTTGATCATATTCACCCCCTCTAATATTATCTTTCTTAAGCCCTCCCCCACCCTGTTTATACTTTCTTGCAACTTTTTAAGTGGGTTTCATTATTAACGTTTCATACATCCAGAGAATGGACTTCAAGCATATTCCCTCATAGACCCCCATCTGGTCCTCTCTTATCCTCCTCTCACTTCCAACTGGCTTTCCACCCCAGAGAGTCCCCATTTATGCTAATGTTCATTTTTTTCTCTTTGGATCTACCTCCACAAATAAGCAAAAACATGCAGTATTTGTCTGATCTGGTTTATTTCACTTAACATGATGGTCTCCAGTTCCATTCATTTTCCTATGACATAAATTTCATTCTTTTTTACAGTTGAGGGACAAAAAGAATTTTACTGTGTTCAGAAAGATGAACACTCTTCAAAATGGTCTACATGAGTTCATAATCATTATTCTGCATACAACACATCCATGAAGAGGAATTCATAATATCTAGATTTTTTAAATTGATAGCAAACTATCAACTAATGACCTTTAATTTTTTATTATGATCACAAACTGTAAGATGAAGGGGAGCCAAAAGCTGTCTCTGTTCACCTTTTATACATGAGGAACGTGAAGATGATAAAGGCCAGAATGCTATGACAGAATGACAGAGACCTAATGAGATTATTAAAGCATCTTGATTCAAGTATGCCAAATTATATAAGCCACATAAACTAGTTTACATTGGGTTTCTGTATTTATATCCAAAAAGTCTTGATGTCACTATGATTAAAATTCTAATAAAAGGTATTAAATCTTTAACATTTACCATTTCAGCTATTCTCCAAAAGTCTACAACATCTAAACCATAAGCTATTGTTGACACACATAAATGTATCATGCATATAGTAAGGAGTATGTATATTAAGGAAAAAGTCACTGAGAAAGAAGTTCACGTACATGATTTCCAAGCATGTGAACACAAAGTCTTTTGCTTTCTACTGCGGCATTCACGCTAAATTTCAGGGACTAGGAGAGGTTATTTATGTTTTTAAATATACTTAATAGACTTTCTGATAGAAATGTGAAGCAGATAAATTTTGGATTTAGACAGACCTGTGATCAAATTTCAGATCTGCAACTTACTAGCTGTAAAGTGTACTTTTATATTGGTGAAAGTAAATTGCCCAACTCTATTTTAGATGTGCTTGGTAGTGATCCTTTCAACTCCAAGCCCATAGTTTTCAACCTTGAGCAGTTTCTGCCATTTACTGTAATGTACCATAGAGAAAAAAATTGTGTATTTTCCATGTGCCATGATAAAACATGTAGGTAGCACATTTAAACCCTCTAATTACATCGCTATTTACAATGAGTACTTGCCAGGGACCAGGTATTCTTCTATGTTACGGGGATGTTTTTAAAAGTACAATCCTGAAGCTGAACAACACATTGTTCAACGATCAGTGGGCCATTAATGAAATAAAAGAGGAAATTAAAAGGTTCCTGGAAGTAAATGAAAATGAAAACACGACCTACCAGAACTATGGGTCACAGCAAAGGCAGTCCTAAGAGGAAAGTTTATAGCCATGAGTGCATATCTTAAAAGGACAGAAAGATCTCAAATCAATGACATAGTGCTCCATATCTCAAACTCCTAGAAAAACAAGAACAAGCAAAACCCAAAACAAGCAGAAGGAAAGAAATAATAAAAACAAGGACCAAAATTAATGAAATAAAGACAAAAAAACCATAAAAAGAATCAACGAAACAAAAAGGTAGTTCTTTGAAAAAATAAATAAGATTGACAGACCACTGGCAAATCTGACTAAAATGAGGAGAAAAACACTTAAATCAGTAAAATCAGAAATGCAAAAGGGGAGATAACAACAAATACCATGGAAATCCAGGGAATCATCAGACTTCTTTGAGAACCTATATTCCAATAAATTGGAAAATCTTGAAGAAATGGACAAATTTCTAGATCCTTATGACCATCCAAAATTGAGGTCATAACCAAGAGGATATTAACCACTTAAATAGATCTATAACATGAAATGAAATTGAAGCAGCAATAAAGAGTCTCCCAAAAAAGAAAAGTCCAGGACCTGATGGATTCTCTGAATTCTATCAGACCTTTAAAGAAGAACTAATAGCAACTTTCCTTAAACTTTTCCATGAAATAGAAAGGGAAGGAACACTGCCTAACTCATTCTATGAAGCCAGTATTACATTCATCCCCAAACCAGACAAAGACACCTCCAAAAAGGAGAACTATAGGCCAATCTCCTTAATGAACATCGATGCAAAAATCCTCAATAAAATAATGGCAAACTGAATCCAACAACATATCAGAAAGATCATTCACCACGACAAAGTCGGCTTCATCACTGGGATGCAGAGGTGGTTCAAAACACACAAATCTCTAAATGTAATATAGCACATTAATAGAAGCAAGGACAAAACCTCTCAATCATCTCAGTAGATTCAAAAAAAATCCTTTGATAAGATCCAACACCACTTCATGATAAAAGCTCAAAGAAAACTAGGAATAGAAGGAATGTACCTCAACATTGTAAAGGCTATATATGACAAACCTATAGCCAACATCATACTTAATGGAGAAAAACTGCAACCATTTCCCCTAAAATCAGGAACAAGACAAGAGTACCCATTATTTCTACTCCTATTCAACACAGTTCTGGAATTCCTAGCCAGAGCAATTAGGCAAGAAGAAGGAGTAAAAGGAATACAAAAAGGTAAAGAAACTGTGAAATGTTCCTATTTGCAGACAGCACGATCCTATATCTTAAAGACCAAAAAAACTCTATCCAAAAACTTCTAAACACCATAAACAGCTTCAGTAAGGTGGCAGGATACAAAATCAACTTACAAAAATCATTAGCTTTTCTACACACTAACAATGAACAAACTGAGAAAGAATATATGGAAACAATTCCATTTACAATAGCTTCAAAAAAAAAATCAAATACCTAGGAGCAAACTTAACAAAGGATATGAATGACCTCTACAAGGAGAACTACAAACTCCTGAAGAAAGAGATCGAGGAAGATATAGAAAGTGGAAAGATCTCCCGTGCTCATGGATTGATATAGAATAAATGTAGTTAAAATGGCTATACTACCAAAAGCAATCTATATGTTCAACGCAATTCTCATCAAAATCCCAATGACATTCACACAGAGATCAAAAAATTCACCCTAAAGTTCATTTGGAAACACAAGAGATTGTGAATAGCCAAGGCAATACTCCAACAAAAAGAGCAATGCTGGAGGTATCACAATATCCCCTTCAAAGTATATTTCAAAGAAATAGCAATAAAAACAGCCTGGTACTGGCACAAAAACAAACAAAGACCAGTGGAACAGAATAGAGGACCCGGATATGAATGTACACAGCTATGCCCACCTTATTTTTGACAAAAGTGCCAAAAACATACAATGGAGAAAAGACAGCCTCTTCAACAAATGTTGCTGGGAAAAGTGGTTATATCTGCCTGTAGAAAACTGAAACTAGATCCCTGTACTAGTATCAACTCAAAATGGATCAAGAACCTTAATGTAAGAATCGAAACTCTGAAGTTAGTATAGGAAAGACCAGGGAATACTCTGGAAGCAATAGGTATAGCCAAGGACTTCCTCAATAGAACCCCAGCAGCTCAGCAACTAAAAGAAAGGATGGACAAATGGGACTACATGAAATTAAAAAGCTCTGCACAACAAAAGAAATGGTCTGTAAACTGAAGATATTACCCACAGAGTAGGAGAAAATATTCACTGGTTATATATCAAAGGACTGATAACCAGAATATACTCAAAAAACTAAAGTCTCTACTGCAGAGGAGCTAATACAGTAACCTTAAAATGACAGAGGTCAATATGGGAAGGTGACCTGGAAGTAGTGAAGAGGTCAGGTAGACATGAGTCAATTTGGGTTGCAATACACTTGGGCATGGAAGCAATGCTAGGAATTGCTCTGTACAGCTATCCTTATCTCAAGTAGCAAAAACGCTTTGTCTTTCTTATTATTACTTATGTTCTCTTCAACAAAATTGTAGAAAAGGGTAGAACAGGTTCTGCCTGGAAGCGAGGGGGGTGGGGGAAGGGGGAGGGGTGGGAGGCAGGAGGGAGAAATGGCCCAAACAATGTATGCACACATGAATAAGTGAATAAAGAAAAAAAATAAACATACAATCCTATAAAATAGGTATTACTATTAATGGCCTCCATGCTATGTAAGTGGCATAAGAGGGCTAAGAGTACAAACTTTAGAATCAAAATACTTCATTCTAAACCCTGGCTCCTCCATATATTAGATGGATAATCTTAGCCAAGTTATTTGCCTATCTTTGTTTCAGCTTCCTTGGGCATTAAATAGAAACTATCTCATAGGTTTCTTTCTCTTTCTGGGGGGTGGTGGAGTGCAGGGGTGGGGGTAGGGTGGGACTGGGGTTTGAACTCAGGGATTTTGTGCTTGCAAACAGGTGCTCTAGTGCTTGAGCCATACCTTCAGTCCATATTTTGCTCTGATTATTTTGAAGATGGGCTCTTGTGAACTATTTACCCCATCAGTCTTCAAATGGCAATCTGATCTCACCTTCCCATGTGGCTTGGTTGATAGCACCAGGCTTCTCATAGGTTTCTTAAAGATAAAGCACACACCTAACATGTGTGATGTTAAGAAAGTTAGATCTTACCCATGTTGTATTCTCTCTATTTCGTAGGAGATAAACTGTAATAAATTCCCAGTGCTGAGTGCTACTGATGAATGGGCAGGCTCATATTTTAATGAATGAATTAAGAAACACAAAGGAAAGTGGTAACAAATTATGAAAAGATTAAAATACTTGCTATGTAATTAACACTCTTAAAATGAACATACATACACATATACCACAGGTGAGGATTCATAATCCAAAAATCCAAAATGTTCCAAATCTGAAACTTTTTGAGCACCGACATGACATTACAAGTCTGATGGTTCAATGTACCCAAACTTTGTTTTATGCCCAAAGAATGAGACAATATTGTATAAAATTGCCTCCAGGCTATGCTTATAAGGTGTATGTGAAACATAAATGAATTTTGTGTTTAGATTTGGGTCTCATAAATACATGAAAATATGCCGAAATCAAAAATACACATGGCTCAAAACATTTCACATGAAAGATACCCTCTCTATATGTCATTTATCAAGACAAGAAAGGTATAAGCAAGGATGACTTTAATTTTTTTTTTTTGGCACTAGGGCTTAAACTCAGGGGCCTTCACCTTGAGTCACTCCACCAGCCCTTTTTGTAATGGGTGTTTTCAAGATAGGGTCTCGTGAACTATTTAACCAGGCTGGCTTAGAACTGAGTAGCTAGGATTACAGGTGTGAGCCACTGACGCCTGGCCAAAAATGTTTAGTTTTAAATTAAGTAATGATTTCCTTGTATCATTCCCTTTTAAGCCAGTGCTGCTGTTGTTTCTTTTTTGTTTTGTTTTTCAGGGAAAGGGAGAACAAATAGAAAAGGGGGACTGGAAATAAACAAAGAAACGGATTCTAGAGTTACTGATATTTTGGGGGGACATATAGGAGTAGAGCCCAGTTTCTGCATTTTTAACAGTACTTCAGGTTTAAAGGCACTCCTCATGAATTATAACCCCAAATAAATGAAACTTAAATGCTACTCATTCAATGAGAAACAGAGTATGTATGAAAAGAATTCTTAAAATTAGAAACAATGATAATATTTAGAGATACACGTGCACTGTAGGGACGATGTCTGACTTTCAGATGCTGCTGACAGGCTACAGTAATCCTTTTTTCAACATTCTACTAATGGCCATTATGAAAAATTACCATTAATTAAAAAAATTACCATTAATTAAGAGGAAGACTTCATTTAGAAGCTAGAAAAATACAAAGGAAAAGCAACTAGTATCTATAAGAAAGGTATTCTTCTGTTTTAAGTCAATAAGATACACTAAGTAACCATCACACAATTATAGCGTTCATCATAAATAAAGAGTCTCATGAAAACATTAAAATAATCTCACCCTAATTATATACACCAACTGTTCACTACACACTACATCATGCCAAGAAAATAATATAAATACCTGATTTTGGAATTGCAGGTCATTTCATTCTCAGGGTAATGAATATCCACTGCATCTTGGATGACTGTGCCATATTCATAGACTTTAATCTTCTTAGTAACCCCAGCAATTGCAAAATAGTCACAATCCCGGTCAAATTCAATACTAAAGGGAGAAAAGGATATTCTTGATTTGTAACATTATTTACCTATCCTTGTGATATTTACACTAATACTTCAGAATTTGGTATTTTCTATTCTCCCATCCAAGTACTAACCAGGCCCAACCCTGCTTAGCTTCCGAGATCAGACGAGATCGGACGCGTTCAGGGTGGCATGGCCGTAGACGGTATTTTCTATTCTAAAGTGATTCCATACAGTTAAGATAGCAACTTGAAAAAACTTCAAATTATGCAAGGCCCCATGTTCAGAGTAATTCATCAAGACATATCAAATTACAAGTGCTGAAGAACTGTGCACATTGACATCCATGTACAGATACATTTTTGTTCCCAGATGCTGACATGTTTTTTCAGTTCAGCTCTAATAACCATATTACAACTTAGGAAAGATCTAATGGTTTGAATGGTTTGGTGTATTACAAATATGTCAAAGGAAAATTATCAATTAGTTTTTTCCATAAATTCTAGGTATTTCTCTTAACATTTTGCATATATGACAGATTTCATATGCTTAATGTTATTTTAATAAATAAGCCAGTACACAAGCTGAATTACTAAACTGGCTGATGACAAAAGAATAGAATACACACAAAAACAGAACACTGTATCATTGTTTATTTTGAAATCCGTTCCCTACACCCAAATGAGTATGATCTCTCGAAATTATAAATCTCTAACACACATTTCTCATTCCACAAATGGGGTATGGGGGGGGCACAAGCTCTACATAAGTTTTAATGCAGAAATTATTTCATGACATAAGATAAGCAAGTTGTGGGCAGTAAGGAAAGAATAAAGAGAGTGAAGTCTCTGACACACTTGCTCTATCTTGCCAGAGGATACCCTTTAAGTTTCTGCTGCAGTATGAGACTCTCACCAGATAACAGACGTCAGTGCCACATTCTTGAACTTCCTCAGAACACTAGACTAAACAAATCTCTATTCTTCATTAAAAAAACAAAAATACACAGTAAAAATATTTTCCTTAAAGACACACTGAAAAACTTTTCATTCTATTTTTAGTTCCTTCCTTAATCCTACATAATTTTTACAAGAGTGTCCTTTAGTTAAATGTACTATCTGTAAACACAATTGTTTCTCTAAAATATGACTATATAACAATGCAATAGATTTGTTTGTACAATAATCTTAACTGAACTCCTGCCTCAGACATCATTTGCTGTGCTGTGCATTCTAACACAGCATAATTATATTAATGGCAACTATTCATCTATAACAACTCAATTTGTGCTCACAGTTTCATGTTACTGAAGGAAAAACAAGTCTATATTTGGTAAATGACAGTTATCGGAGCTGAAACCCTATTTTTAATTCAGACTTGGTACATATGGGACTTTAAGTGAGAACTAGTTTATTATCCCTAAATATTTTCCATCTACCTCTAAACATACATAGGTCATAAATCAATAGCATTCTAATGTACCAGTAAAAGTATGTCATTAAAAAACACATCATTAGCAAACTATTATTAGCTTTTAATATAAAAAATTTAAATACTAACCTATTAAAATAATAGTTTGAAAACACTGCAGGGAGAAGACTGATGCATAAACAAAACTGCCACCTGTCAAAAAATCTGCTATGATGACCTATATAAGCAAGTTTATTACTCCTTCTGTTGTTACCTTGTTATTTAAGATAGCTCTCTCCTTTTGCAACACAGGTTATTATTTAGCCATTAGCTCACTTGTAACTTTCATATTAAAAAATGAAATTTTGTTTTGACTTCATTACTATTATTTCCTTGTATTTTGGTTATTTAAAAAAATATACTGGGAAACTGGGTGTAATCAAGCACAGGTGCAATCCAGCTCGGGGGAGGCTGAGACAAGGATGAACTGAGTTCAAGGACGGCCTGGACTACACAGTAAGACCCTATTTCAAAAAGCAAAGATATAAGTAATACAAACAAATTGGTTTTTGTATTTTGATGTACTGAGGGCTTTTATAATTTAAAAGCAATTTTATTAAAATACTAATCATATAAAGAAAAATAGTATTTCTAGTAAGTTTTGATTAGAAAGACAAGCTGTTTTTCTAAAACAATACAAACACTTCCATCACTAAAATTTAGGATTTAAGTACTTCCAAATACTGAACCATGTCTTACCTATCTTTACCAGATTTAGTAATATCTATTTGCAAACATAAATCTAATTAGAGTCTAGGAATAGACCATGAGATAACTATAGTTTTCAGGAGCAGAGAGCTTTCCAGTCCTAATCCAAAATGAATGTCCTCTTAGTTCATAAGATATTTCAGTTGCTTTTATTATGAAGTCTGGTAACACAAAAATAGTACAGTGGCTATTTAGGCTGAAACAGAGTAAAAGGTAAACAAATTAACTGAAATGTATCTGTTTATGCAATTAAACTCAAAAAAGAATTGTAAGAAATCTTGCTACTGACACTTCTGTTGTCTACTAGCAACAATAATTTTTAAAACCACTGGTATATGAAAACTTACTGCAAAGATAAATTCAAATTCAATCTCAAAAGATTTGTTTATAATTTCAAAACACAAATAATTTTTCTTTGAAAAATACTACTTTAAACAAGAAAATTAATTATTTTACTTTCACATTTTAAAACATTTCAACTGTTTAAAGAAAGTGATTCTACTACATAATTCAGCTAGGAAACTGGTCATAATCTTGTCAAAAAAGGTGTAAGTCAAGTGATTAAGCAGCAAGGCAACAAACCACATAGGATAGCTAATTAATACACACTTCCAGTCCAATGTGGCACAAGCAAGGCAAAGCTGTCAATATATCCAATGAATGAATTATGTCAGTGTTCTCAGTTTGTCATATCTCTTTGTAATTGTAAAACATGTATTAATAAGAAAGGTAATTACCATCCCTAAACACTAGAACCCAATTTATGAAAAGAAAATACAAAGACCAGTTGTTAAAAAGTGTAATGCATTACCACAATAGTATGCCTTTAAGAGTCACAGATTAAGTATTAAGGTTTAGGAGTGGTCACTTTAATGGGCAATTTTTTTTGTACAAGGAACTGAACTCAGGACCTCCAAGCACACTATCACTTCAGCCACAGAAATGGGCAGATCTTTAAAGAATACAAACATGGGTAAACTCAACTGAGAATTAGTACCATTCAATGGACTTTGCCCTGAATTAATAAATGCTAATTGCTAAAACTCCCATAACATAACCATATCAAGCACTGTACAAAAATTATAATAAACTTCAAATTTCCATTGTATAAAGAAATTGAGGCCTATTGATGTAAAATCATCTGTCCAAGACTGTATCAGAGAATTCAAATTCAAGCATTCCTGTTTCAGAGCCTAGGCTCTCAATAATTATGCAAAACTACCATTTTAATGAGTACAAATGGACTGGTCTTCAAAGAACACCTCCATAGGCAAGAATAACACCACAGAAAAAACTATTCTGGTTTACATATAACAATTCTAATTGTGCAAAAGTTAAACATAAGAGGGGAAAAGAATAAGGTATCCTTACAGGACTTACAGTTACCAGGAAAAAAAATTTAATATATATGAGCAAATGTCAAATAGTAAGATAAAATATATACAGGAAGTTGGAAGTCAATGACTATTGAGGCCTACCAGAATAAAAGAAAGGAGCAGGAACGCCCAACCCTGGTGGCTCACACCTGAAATCCTAAGTCACTTAGATGGCCAAGTTCCAGAGACTGAGGTTGGAGACCAACCAGGAAAAAAGTTCAGGAACCCCATCTCAACCAACAGTAGCTAGGCATGGTGGCCCCAAGCTATGCAGGAGGCTGAGTGGATCGTGGTGCCAAGTTATCCGGACAAAAAAAAGAGACTCCATCTTAAAGGAAAAAGCTGGGTATGGTGGTGCTCACCTATAATTCCAGCTATGGCAGGAAGCGTAAGATAAAAGGATCATGGTCCAGTTTAGCCTGGGCTAAAAGTGAGACCCTAACTCCAGAATAACCACAGCAAAGAAAAAAGGGGGTGGGGGAGACTGCTAAAGGTGTATGGTACCTGCCTAGTAACCTAGTACTGCCCACCCCCTGCCAAAAAAAAAAGCAAGAATATTAGGAGAGCCTATTTGCTAGATAATAACCTAGCTGACAACAAACCAAGCCCCTTAAAATTTTTTTTTAAATATACAGAACACAGTTTTTGAGGAATTCAGAAACACATATTGGGCCTGTATTAATGGTAACCCGGGCTACTGTAAGAGCCTCTTTACCAAATCTTCCAATACCGTTTTCTTTCTTTTGTAATTCATTTTAAAGACTGAATTAGAATAGATTTTCAAAATCTAGCTTTGTTCATGTAATTCCCAAACTGCAACTGTTACTAAAGATCCTTCACAATGTAACTTGAATTGTCTTAAAACTTATTTTTTAAAAAATCTAAGTAGGCAACCATTCAAAAGTATGAAGAAAAAAAAAAAAACGGTCTCCCTCCCAATCTTACTAAATAAGCACTTAATTAATTGCCTTCCCTAGAGGCAACCAGCAATTTCGGTTTGCATATTCCACTAGTTTTCCTATGCACAAGAATTCCTATACAGGAATCCATATTCTTTTTTACTTTTTAAATTCACATTCTTTTAATTTTTAAATTAAACATGAGATCACATCATACATACTGATTTATAACCTGACGTTTTCCCCTCACCTAATAGTATCTTGACAATCATGTCATATAGTATGTATTAAGGCTATCTCCTTAGTACATTTTTCTCCCAATGGTCACACAGAATTCCATCATGTGAATTTATCATCATTTATCTAACTACTATATTACTAGAATATGTAGTAGATAAAAAACACTACATTTTAATATTAAGTAAAAATTAAACCCTTCTCCATACACATGACATTAATGATCTCAATTTCTTTCCTATTTCATTTACCTTCTAACTAGACTCAGCTCTCCCCTGAAAATACCACTCTCCATGAAGCCTTCCCAAATTACAAGTTGAAACGGACTTCTA